AAAAAAAAAAAAAAAAAAAAAAAAAAAAAAAACACACTAGGTCTTATTTCTTATTTTTTTTAATGTATAACATTTCAAAGTTAGTGCAAATCCAAATTAAATAATCCAAAATGGCAAAGTTAAGAATAGGGTGATCAGGGCAATCAGGGGTGCCATACCTTTCCAAGAGCAATTTGGTAACCAGAAAAAGAGAAGCGCACTTTCACTATAGATTCATCACAGGCGGAGTGCATTTGGTATCACTCTGCCTGTGACTCCTATAGGAAATATCAGCTTATGCGGCTCTGCCCCCTGTGCTGCCGCCTCGCTTCCTCTAGTGCTGGCTTCATTGGCACCGCTGATTCTCTCACACGGCTCTTTAGGTTCCCCCTTATGCCACCACCAGCCCTGGCAATGGTCACAACTAGGTCTTATTTTCGGGGTAGGTCTTTTATATTTTAGCAATTCCCAAAAATAGTACTGGGTCTTATTTTTGGGGTAGGTCTTATTTTCAGGGAAAACAGGGTAGTTAAAGGAGAACTATGAGGTGAGTGCTTTTCACTCACCTCATAGTTCTTTAGCCAACCTGTGACAATGAAACTGTCACAGGTCGGCTCAGTAGATCGGGAGGTGAACGAACACATATCCGCGTTCGCTCACCTCTCGCTCCTGTCACGGCTCTCTGCTGTGACAGGGGAGGGGCTGGGCTCCCCCCTCCCTGCTCCGATCCGCCAGCGCTGACTGGCGGAATGGACGGGGGAGGGGGCGGGTACAGCTGGCTCTGCCTCTAGATAGGCAGAGCCACCTGTCAGTCACGCAGCTGGGCGGATCCAGACATAATTGTCAGGATCCGCTTCAGCGTCTCAGTATACCGTGAGCTACAGCTCGTGGTATACTGAGCCTAGGGTGACGGGAGGACGCTAGTTTGTGTCCTCCCGTTACCCTGAGAACTATGGGGAAAAGCCCTAACCCCATAGTTCTCCTTTAATAAACTTGGATACATTTTTAAGATTAAATTGCTGTATTTAGTGTCACTTTAACCCTTGCAGGGTTAATAAAAGTTTTTCCTGGAGTTCTTTAAAGTTCTTGCTAGCCATGTAGATCATGAGAAGAAGACAACCAATCACCGGACAAAAATAAACATGAACATAAGACAACACTGAAAATAACCTATGTACACACAGCACGATCCTCCACCCCTAGACCAGAGCGCAGCCTAGTAACAAGTCTCTGTTATATACAATGTGTGGCATGAATAAACACGTGTTCATCCCACACTGTATGACCAGATGGAAGACATAGAGATCAGGAGGGTGTCAGTCCTGGACTCAGCCAGCAGGTAAAGCACAGACTTCTGATTCAGTCATTCATGGGGCAATAAATCAGGATAATTACAATGGAAGATCTGGTGCGTACACTGGGTATGCCACCAGGAAAATGGCAGTTAGTCTGGCCATCAGTCCCCCATTATAAGGAGGCCATGGGCTGTGCCTTTACCTTGTTCTGTTGCTCCTCTGACTTGGAAGCAGACCTGGGAAGATGTCATGGTGCAGCCTTGATGGAGATCCTCCCTAGAAAGACAGGAAACATTCAGAGGTATCACAAAGCAGTCAGTACTGATATGTCATAGGCAGCAGAAATGCAAGATCAGACAGGACACATCACAGACTCCCACCGGTGACCCCAACACAGAGGACACCCCAATCACATGACTGTGATCAGACCATATTAAAGAACCCCCTACGCTAATAAAGACAAATTACCAGCCGAGCCCGGTGCCGTTTACACCGATACTGCAAGTTGTGACGTATCTCCCTTTTATCAAACCGGTCTGGACCGGCTCGTGCCAGCCGAAGACAACGTACACCGGAAACACTGACAGCCTAGAGTAACACAGCGTTATCCTACCCTGCGGCACGAAGCCACGTCCATCGACTCTGACATGGCCAATCACAGATCCGGCTGTCCTCAGCCAATAGCTGAGCGGGCGGAGGAATAGGAGAATGCTGATTGGCTGTTATGGGTAGGTCATGATTCGTTTTGTTGATGTTTGTGTGAGTATACAGTGATAGATTGAGAAATAGGATGTCATTCTATTGTAGCTGGCGGCTGTCCCTGACTTCTCGCCCGGGATAACCCCCCCTTGTCGTAACAAGCTGTTCCTGCAAAGGCCCCGCCCAGGGTTATGGTTTGGCTGAGATAATGCAACGTAATAAAAGCAAAAAAGTAAAGTTGTTTTCTGGAGCAAACGCCATGAAAGTTTCCTCTGGTGTTCCTCACATAACAGAGTCCCAAGCATGTAATCCTGATGTGTGTTGGAAGTACTGAAGTTCAGGTTGGCCAGTATTGCTCTTCTCAGGCAATCATATGACAATATGCCTCCAGGTGCAGCCTGGAAATTCTATCAGTATGTGCAGGAGAGGAGTGCAGAGGGTATGATGGTGTCCAGTATGTGCAGGAGAGGAGTGCAGAGGGCATGATGGTGTCCGGTATGTGCAGGAGAGGAGTGCAGAGGACATGATGGTGGCCAGTATGTGCAAGAGAGGAGTGCAGAGGACATAATGGGGTCCGGAATGTGCAGGAGCAGGCCCGGGGCTACCGCAAGGCAAGTCAGGCGACCGCATGAGGGTGCTGCAGGGTGAGGGTGGAAAAAACGGCATTTTGACAAGTACTTGTACTTGCCAAAATGCCCCGATGCTTGCGCTATGTTTTTTTTTTCCACTTACTTTCGGTGCGGGAGAGCAGCGGCGAGTCTGCGCTGGTCCAGAGCTCCAGGTGGGGGTCATAATTTAGCTGCCCGGTGACTGCCAGAGGATCCCGACACGTATGGCACCTCTGACAGTCGCCGGCCAGCTAAATTAGGACCCCACCTGGAGCTCCTCCCACCGGACCAGCGCTGACTCGCCGCTGCTCTCCCGCGCCAAAAGGTAAGTGAAAAAAAAGGCAAGAATCCTTGCACCAGCACTGTGCAGGAGAGGAGTGCAGAGGGCATGATGGTGGCCAGTATGTGCAGGAGAGGAATGCAGAGGACATGATGTTGGCCAGTATGTGCAGGAGAGGAATGCAGAGGCTATGATGCTACAATCTGTGCTTGATCAACTTCAGTGGGCTGCAAATGTCTAACAGACCCCTAATGTCTCCTTAAAGAGAACCTGTCACTAATAAAATGCTATCACATAGAGAGCTTGTGATAGCCTCAGACAGCAAGAAGGCTAGGAACATCCCTGATAACACACCTTACCCCCCAATAATTGCTACACATACTAAAAAGAGGATTGTGATGGACAATGTACTGTTTGAGTTCATTTTATAGTAGGTTTTATTTATTTATCTTGATTTATAATGCTGACCTGCATAAACTAATCCAACATTCCCATAGTTTCTTTAGTGTCCCGGTGATCACTGGGACAGCCAATTTGGATTTATTGCTTTCTCGGAAAGTAAAATGTGCCCTATCGGCTCTGGACCATACTATGGGTACAAACAACAGATAATGGACGCATTTGGTATTCCCATGCACGCCAGGAAAATAATTTGTTTTAGGTTTTTTTGTAGTGGTGGGTCATGGTCAGGGCTTGAAAAATCCACTTGTCGTCTTGTCTGTGACGAGAGGATGCCGGAGCCGGACGAGTAGCTTCCCGGCCAGTCGTTGTAATTAAACGGCCGGGAGCTTCTTGGATGGCGGTTTACATTCAAGCGTTCGGGTGTACAAGCCCTGGTCATGGTAATGCAAAGAAATATACAGCTAAAATTATTTTATTTATTTTTTTTCTATTTTGGGCCAGTTTTCCTTTGATTATGAAATCACATTATAATACAACCAAAAGGAAGGCCCAGTTTGTCCTGAACCAAACAAGGAAGAATCCTCCTAGATACACAGTTTTACTAACACATGCCAAAGTTTCAAAACTGGGTTCAGACGATTAAAGCTAAACTCTGGAATGGAAAAAAAAGACCCCTTGCAGTGTGGAGCCTCCCCCCACACTGCAATGGTTAAATGCTTCTTAAGTCAAGGGAGTAGGGAAAGAGACATTATCACTTACCTTAAAGGAGAACTATGGGGTTAAGGCTTTTCCCCATAGTTCTCCTTCGGGTAACGGGAGGACACAAACTAGCGTCCTCCCGTCACCCTAGGCTCAGTATACCGCGAGCTGTAGCTCGCGGTATATTATGTCTGGATCCGCCCAGCTGCGTGACTGACAGCTGGCTCTGCCTATCTAGAGGCAGAGCCAGCTGTACCCCCCCCCTCCCCTGTCACGGCAGAGAGCCGTGACAGGATCGAGAGGTGAGCGAACACCGGTATGTGTTCGCTCACCTCCCGATCTACTAAGCCGACCTGTGACAGTCTCATTGTCACAGGTCGGCTAGAACTATGAGTGAAAAGCACTCACCTCATAGTTCTCCTTTAATCCTAAGTCAGGCTCCAGTGCGCTCCTCTTCTTCCTGACACCCCAGGTGTGGTCAAACCCTCAGTGTCATCATGTATAATTCAGGGCTGTCAGCCCTACATTGAATGTAGCAGAGATAGGTGTGCGACCACAGCCGGGAGTGTCTGAAAGCGGAGTCTTCGCTGGACCAGTCACACAAATGGAGGGAACCTGCTAGAGTGAGGAATAAGGCAAGTATGACTCTTTATCCCTCTACCCCTAAACTTAAGAGCATTTAAGCCTTGCAGTGCAGGGAACCCCACTACAATGGTGGTTTTTTTCTTGTTGGGCTCTAAGTTTTGTTTTACTCTAGGCATTAAGGGGTTAATAACTATACACTATACTATATACACTGCTGGGTGGGAGAAAGTCTGTTGCTGTACGTGTGCAGCTGTGCTGGGCCATATTGAGGAGGAATAGAGCAGCACATCGCAGTGTCACAGAGCTGTAATATTAATACACCAGCATGCAGTTAGCAGCCAAAGACAGGGTCATCAGAGGACACGTGTTCCTGGAACTTGTTATGTTTCCTTGTCCTGGCTATCTAGGGATAGATTAACGTCACTGGAACAGGAGGTGGAGGGAGTAAACTAAAGTGCTTGGCCAACAGGATGACTACTCATCTTTTAAAACATTGTCATATAAATATTTAGAAGAATGCTAGCATGCCGGGGGCTGGGGGGGGAGGGGTTCTGGCAGGGGATCATACAGGTAAGTGCAGTACATTTTGTGAAAAAGTGAACTTACCGTTTAATGGGTAAATGTTTTTGTTTTTTTGCTTAATACAATTTTAAACAGTTTTTCCACAACAAAGAAGATACAAAAAATAATCCTCATGTTGACCTCTTTTTGCATATCAGTCTGTTCCGTTTTGAAAACATTCACAGATTTTATTGTTCCAAATGATCCTTAATTTTTCTTGCTTCATAACTGTAGGAGATCCTACAGTCTTTCTGTGCTTCGTCACCTACATGATGCTATAAAGTCGTGTATCCTACTTCTTTGGAAGGACCCAACACCCGCAACTATCTCCCAAGGGATCCACAGGGTGAAGGAGATAGGAGTGATGGAGGATCTTATTTTGTCCTCTCAAAATAGTCAGGAAAAATACCTCAGAACATGGTTTTACTGGCTGGAGTTATTGAACTCCTCAGAGTGTAAGGCCTTCTTGATCTAGATTGTTTGTCCTTTCCTGTTCGTCTGTTCCTGTGGCGATATAGCTCACCTCCATTGCTGCTGCTGGTCGGGGAGTTCCTTCTTGCCCCCTTTAATTTTCTTTTTTTTTATCCCTGAATTCCCTGGATTCTTCTGCTTCTTTGCTCTTTTGCTTTTCTTCCTACTCTGCTTCTGTTACTTTGCGCCGAGTCCTCCTTTCTCTTGCTGCCTTGTCTATTCTTTTCATTTGTTGTTGTATTGACTTTTCGTTTGGGGTGACTTTCTTTTCTTTCCACCCCTCCTATATTGTCCTGACCCCTTAGGTGTAATCCCTTGTTGTTCCTGTCATAGCTCTGTACTATTGTGCAGGGCTAGTTTCTATTTTTTGTTAAACACTTAGGGGGTTATTCACTAAGGAGCAGAAGGATTAGCTAAATGTTCGGCTACATCCTTTGGCTTGCTTCGGCTGCAGGAAGCATTCGGTTCAGCCGAACCAAATGGCTGCTGTAAGTTAACCCCCCCCCCCCCCCCCCAACATGTTTGGGTAGGATCAGTAGTCTGTATGACAATCTGGGGTGTCGTCACACCCACACGAACGAGAGAAACTGACAGCGAAGCTGGGGAAAGAAGTGCGTCCTCAGTCTGATCGGGATAACTTGTAGAAAATACAAGATCCTGGGTAGAGCCATCATCTTAAGAACAGCACAACAGCCAAACCAAGTCAGAGTGAGGTCCTGCCACTGAAGGAGATCTGCCCTTATCTTGGCTAGTAGAGGCGCAAAATTAGCATCAGATAGGTGGCTTGGGTCTGCTGTGATGGATGATCCCAAATCCTGAATATGTTGAGTCGCCCAGCTCAATGATTTGATGGAGTCCAGGTCCGAGGCAGACAGGGAGATGTTAAGAGCCTCAGATTTGGAGGGGTTAAGCCAAAAATTAGAAAGTGCTCCGTAAGTATCGAAAGCCTTTTTGGTGACTGAGTGG